ATATACTTGTGTATTGTGTGTGAAACTAGTAATAAACGCTAGAGATCATTTAGAAATAACCCTGTAAATACAGAAAGATTATGAAGTATGCTGCAATGGTATTAAATACTGTTTTCACTTCTCTTAGTTTTCGTTCTGCAATTACATGAAAAATCAGAAGGAATAGCTAATTAAGCAGTGTAGTCTATTTCTTTATTCAAGTGCCCAAAATATTACAACAGAATATTTCATTCCCAATGACCCCCACTATAAATCAGATAATTGTACCCTACTATTTAGTCCTTATCCATAATCAGGTCTCATATCGAGTAAAATAATGGATGATTAAGCTGACTGCACTTTGCTTTTAATAGTTTAATTTACATATTTAGACAATCACATTGTAGTAAAAACTTTATGGAGCCATAGTGCAAGCATAAATAATGCATCTTTACAGATTTGCAGCAGGTAGTAGGGAGCAAGCTTGTGTGCTGGCCATACCTGAGCTGCAGTTTAATAAAATTATGTTAAGCTCCATACCTTTCTCATGTATAATGTAAATCTCCTAGAAGAGTGACACTCCTGACCAGTAAACGCATTTCTCTGCGCTGCAGTCCACATGTATAATGATTCTGTGGGTGACTTTACATGATCACACTCACTACTCACCCAGTTAATGTTTTTAAACTCAGAGCATGGAAGGTGTGGTGTCTAAGGTCTCTCTCTGTCATGGCAGAACAGATGTAGTACAGGCAGACGTGGAAGCATGGTGCCATTTCAATCCCCTCTCACAGCAGAACATAAACAGCTGAATGTCAGGAAGGACAGCAAGGGTGAAAATACACACAGACTACAGATTTCAAGGAAGTATAGTCACTGGTAAACTTCTCATTTTTACCTTCAAAACTGTAGTCCATCAGTAAACTCACACTGCTGGGGACTCCTAGCTGGAACCTCCACATCATCAGTTTGTCTGAAGAGGGGCCCAAAGCCCTTCACAAAAACAGCAACTACAGATGTTGTGTCACACAGTTTTTTCCGATATTTTTCCAGGAGCATAAACTTAAAAATATTCACAGCCCCAGGTAACTACTCAACAGGTTATCCAGTGCAGGGCTACTTCGCACAGATTTCTGATGCATCTGGAGCTCAGGTGGAATGCACTGAAGACCAAAGATGGTGCCGACCTGAGCAGCCTCATGGTTTTCAGAACAAAATCTCCACTTTCAGGGTCTGGGCAGAGAAGAGAGTCCCTTGGAACTGCTGGATATTGGCACTACTTCTGTAAGTTTCTCTAAAATGCCTTCCTGATATGTCAGGTGTATAAGACAAGGAACACCTTAATTACGGTGAGGAGTGAGAAAAAGGAGCACTTATAGGGCTTTCTGATGTAAGAGGAACTCACAGTATTTTGAAATAAGATTTAGCATGGTCTACAAGCCTATCAGACTGGCAAGGGGCAGGGGGGAATGAAAGGTGGGATAGAAATGGCAAAGATACTAGATACAGAAGTGATAGGTCTGTAACTCTCCTGATGTGCATTTCTTGTTGATGGCCAAAGTAAAAAGACCTATCCCAAGATGCCCTGTGGCTGATAACAGGCCTTCAATACACTAAACAACACTTCTTCCTCTCAAAACAACTCAGTCCACCTCTTGAAGTGTTCAGAACAAACAGAAGGTGAGCTGCTGACTGAAGTACTTCTCAATGCAGACAGATTGTTTTCTAGCAGAATATAAGCAATATTGCACCATCTTTCTTGTTGACAGAGTATACAACAGTTCTGTCCATCACAAATCATGAATGATAACCTTAGATTTGAGAATAAAATTCTTTGCATGCATTCTGTGCTGCCCCGAAAGCCAACATATGGATGTGAAGTACTTGCACCAAGGGTTACCGATTCTGGCTATCAAAGGTTATTGAGTAAAAACCTCACTTTGACCGCCATACATGCATTATAAAGAAAAAGTCAGAGAAGGAAAACAGAAGCAGCACCTACTGCAAACACAAGTGGATTCTGTCACTGGAATAGGAAGCATCTAATTCCATGAAACAGGTCTCTGGAAATATGCTAAGTGCATGAGTGTAGACATATCTGAGAGAATTTTGGAAGGGAACATTACCTAGGTGTTCACCACCTCCGACTACTGGACATGACTAAACACACAAACAAGTCTTCCACCATTTGAAAACCAGAACTACTGGGTGGAAAAGCCCTTGTTGGTATTAGGCCTTAGAATTTCTCTCAAGGTATGCTAAGGACTAGACTGGGTGACACTTTTTTTTCTTTTTTCCTTTCTCTAAAGCCTAAGCTCTTGACTGCAGAGTCATCTAGGGAGTTTGCAGGAGTTCGATCACCAGAGTCAACCAACCAGAAAAGGAACAACATCTCACTTTATCTGAAGTGATCTGTGTCACCACTACTTCTGAAGGCCTTCACTCCTGTGGAGAATGCAAGTGGCAGGACACTGTAATGATAACAGTTTTGATTCATGGAGGAAATCTTCAGTGAAACATCATTACGTCAAAACAGATGTTCTAACGGGCAAGACACCAGTCAAGATCAGAGATGGTAAATCTTCCCCCAGATCTTAAACTTGGAATTGCAGTTCCAAAGTTCTTTTAAGTCTAGGATAAGGATTCAGCTTCCTTTCCTTAAACAAGGTCGTACTGCTTTTAAGTGTAGTACAAAGGCGATATGACATGAAACAGATTTATGGCCTATACTTTTAGGCATGGCATCAGTCTCAGAAGACAGACATCTTTGGTGTTGGAATTGCCACATTAGATAATTATACCAGCTGGCAAAGGCAGTAAAGAACATTATTTCATTTTTATTGAAACAGATTGTAGGGATCCTTATCACAAAAGCTAACTTGTCTTCATTTTCCCAAACAGTCTTTATCACTGGCAAGAGTTTGCTGCATAGGTGAAGTAGTTGTCTAGAATTCAGTATTTGCTGTTGGCTTCCACACTAGACTTGGGTGGGAAACTGGTGAGAACCTAAACATTTGACCATCTTCATCAAACAAGCTTCATTTACAAGAAGGGTGACCGCAACTGCTTTAAGACAATGCAGAAAATAGAGATGCAGCTGGCTAAGACTGGATTGTACAAAGCATCATCTATCCTCTTTACAAAAATCTTGAAAAAACTATACAGTCAGGAGCAGATTGAGTAAACTAGGTCATTCTTGTATCCAAGAGTAAGGTCAGTACTAGAATTGATGCCATTTGTTCTCCACATTTCAGTGACAGCACATTTCTTGTTCCCTCACTGAATAGGACAGGTCTCAGATGGCCCATACAGGCACCATCATTCCTCTTGGTCTAAAAGTATGAACAAACACAACTGCCTGGAGGAAACTGTTTGGAAGAAAAGCACTTTGGAAGTTCCAAGCACCTGTGGCAATGAACTGGTCAGAGAGAGCGGGTGGCTAAGGAAACTGGGTCAATGTTACATACGACAAGAAAGGGGAGAACCTCTTCCATATGAGGAACTTGTAACTTCATCAGAAGGTGCCAAGGTTCTTCTGAAGAGTCATGCACCTTAGCATCTGCTTTAGAAAGGGAGGTCTGAACTTCAGCATCTTCTTTTGGCATAATCAGCAAAAGCAAGAATCACAGTCTGAGGTCAGTATCTGGACTCAGCTCAAGACAGAACATCTCACAGCAAAGAACTCTAAGACCAAACTGGCATCTGCATCTTTAGAGTTCACCCAGTGGTGGAAGTTTCCACCAGGGCACAGAAGAAGACCAAGTCACTATGACCACAGAACCAAGAGAGCCTTCATCCTGTGGTATAAATCTAAACAGAGTGCTTTCAGAAGAGAGCGACATGTCAAATTGAAGAAAAAAACAACCAAACATAAAACAAACAAGCAAAAAAACAACCCCAAAAAAAACAAAAGTGACAACAAAACGTTTTCCCCAAAGGTACAACACTTCTTCACTATATTGCTTTTTGCCAAAAAGTGGGAGAAAGGCCCATCAATAAAACAAAACCTCACATGGGTGGCTCAAGACTGCAATATAACCTTAGAAGACATTATCGGCATACTACTGAGTTTAAACTGGAAAACATGCCAGAATTGCTGGTGGATATCAGACATTTCAGACTTCTCTGCTGGCAATCAGGAAACCAGGCCACAACTCCGGCCACAGGCTGTAAGGGTCAAAATGATGGCCCTGGAACATCCATCTGCTGAGAGCGAGAGAGCACAGCGGGAACACAGCCTGCCTGGCTGCAGAGGTCTTGGATCCGAACGACAGAGCTTATATACATCCTAACTGTGAACGTACACAGAGCATGTCACTTGACACTAGAAAACAAAGATACTGAGGAAGGGTATCACGAGGGAAATACAGGAGATTGTACAAACGTACACAGATAAAAACTGTGCAAGTTAGAAAATTTTGGTATGAACTGTATGTTTCCAAAAATACCGTCAAGGTCACCAGACTTTCCTGCCATACATTAAGGCAGCATTTTGTTTTTACACATAGTATCTACAAGTCAACAGCAACATATATCACTGTCATTAAAGGGGAATCATTTTAATTGAGCATAACAGAGGCAGGCAATTACAACTGCGCACAGTGCTCACAAATGTAAAATTCTAGCATGCTAACCACTGAGATCCACCAGCTATTATCAGTCAGCACACATCTGAATAAGAACAATAACCAAAAACACAGCGAGATAATTTTAAAACACCGTACAGCAAAACCTGCTATCATAACAGGTGGGCTACTCAGAACAGCAGGGCTGCTGGGCATGAATCAGGATGATCAAAGATGGCTTTAAAGCCAAACTATTTCACTGCAGCAGTTTCTTGAAACAAAGTCAAGCCAATTAAAAAAAAAAAAAAATTGCTTCAAGCTACAGATCACTGATACCTTTCAAAAAAAAATGCCATCTACCTATCAAGCAGCAAAAAGAGCACTGGCATCAAATACATTAGATGACAAGCAATCTATCATTTACTTTTTCAAGCAAGCATTCGTTGCAGTCTGTACCTGGCTGATATGTACGGCAGAAACCTGGGCAGAACACACGGATGAGTGGCTTGGAGAGTTTGGTAGAGATTTGCAGGGCCCAATTGAGAGTTGCTGTTTCTTCCTTGTTGCAACGATCTTCTGAGCAACTAAAGAAAACCAAAACATACAGACAGGTAAGCTACAGTACACACTGGAAAAGACGGTATGTCAAAAATACACAGAACACACAATACACAGAGCAGGGTTTTCCATTGCCAAAGCTTGCTCCAAAAATTGATTATAATACATCCAATTAAGATGACAGATGCTGCTTTTTCCACAATATGCTCCATGTGAGACTCCAGCTCTGTTCTCCACAGGGATGAAATTGCCCCAGATCTCTCACTCCGTTAGGTGAGCACGGGAGAACCAGTAACATCCAAGCAAAAGGGGAAAAGGCAGGTGTACAAGTGACAAAAAGCAATACCAGGAATGCTGTAACAACTCCACTAAATGCTTATAATACCACAAAGCCTATGGTAGCACACATTTTCTATTCTTTGGGATGTTCTCCTTGCAGGGAGAACTTAAGTACGAGCAACACTTGATTAATAATCTAGTCCAAGTGCATCTTAGCGCTGTTTACTGGTACAATCCTGGAAGGTGTCCTACATCACAGAATGATGGTTCATTAGGAAAGCTATCATTGCTAGTGCTAGCAGGTTTAGTTTACAAGAAGGCATGCACTCTCTACTGCTCAGGGATAAGGTGGACATTTCCTAATTATCGGTGGATTTAATATTACGCCACTGCATCAGGACAACCAGTTTTGGAAACCACAAGTTTAAAGCATTTGAAACAAATGATTATCGGATTAATAAAATGAATAATGGTCCCCTGACAAAGAATACTTGGATTAGTGGTGCCACACACCACATCCCATTCAAATTCTTTACGGAAAGAAGCTATATTATGATTTCTGGTTTTAGCTTTTATTACTTAGAAGCACTAGCACAGCTGGAAAAATACCAAATTTATTTTGCAATGTATTAAACTATTTCTTCAATGTGTAAAGAAAAGCAGCACCTATCAAACGGGTAGAGGGATCAAAGCCATTAACATTTCTATATACAGCTCAGCAGACACATAACAAAAACCAGAAACAGAGCTGATCTGAAATGCAGCAGCTTCCATACCTCCCCTCTAATTTTTCAATTTTAAAAAGTCAAACTATTTCAGAAACTCATTCTGTGATACACTGGAATTTCAGTTCATTCTACTATTCATCTAAAGCCTTTGTAAAGAACTCTTTAGGTCATAAATACTTAAAAATAAAATCCTTTACACTACATTTGTTGTCTACCTTTTTGGTCACAAATTAAAAAATAATCAAAATGTCAGTCTTCAGAAACCAGTCTAGTGGCTAATCAAAAATGCTGCTAACTAAATTTAGCCTCTGTGCATGCAGTAATCTTCATGAAGTGAAGCATTTCATGGAACTTGTGCAAATGAGTCTGTAGTCACTTGCAGAGTCTCCACTGAAACCAGTCAGCGAGGCAGAATGGCGACAATTATTGGCATCTACTTAAAAAGTCACACAGAAGCTTGTTGTAATTAAACTAACAGCATTCAATCTGTCTTGTTCAGAAAATATAAAAAGATATTTATGTAAATTCCAAGATTATTTTTCCTCAATACAGTATAACACAGGCAGAGATATTGTTTAGCAGTGCAAGCGTAAAATTTCTTCTCAAATGCAATTTTAATAACAAACTGGTCTGTGGCTTATGTTTTTCATGTAAATGAATGATGGCATAACCATGATTTAGTGAGAATACATTGTATAAAAAATGGCTCATATATATGAAGAAGCAGCTTCATTAGTTACATCCCACCTCCAATAGGCCTCTTATCATCCTGAAAGGATGATATCAATTAATTTATCTTCCACTGGCATATTGATCATAACCTTCATCAGCTAATCATGTTTAAATTACAGAGGAATATCGTAGCACTCTGTCATTTCAGACCCATCGGTTTATTGATCTGGTGCCTGGAAAGCCATATATTAAAATATTTTAAAACACATTAGTGAATGCAGAGAGCAAACCAAAGGTCAGATTTTAACAAATGCACATGGATTTGTCTTCATCATATGTGGTAAAGACCTAAATTAAGACCAAAACTGAATTAAAACCACACATGAATGAAAACTACATTCTCAGCAAAAGCTTCCACTCTCATACAGGAGAGGTCGAGGAAAATATTTACCTCTTTCCTTTAATCTCAATACAGGTGTGCTTGTAGCATCACATTAACATACATAAAGGAGTCTTGCCAAATTGTCACTCTAAGAAGGCACAACAAAAAAAAAACCAAGACAGTCTGTGCTCACCTGCTCAAACGCATGACCTGAACACTAGGCTAAGGACTACAAAAGCAGACATTTAAAAAATAAGTTTTAAAACCCACAAATTGTGGATGTCAAAATGGGAAGAGTAATCCTAAAAACAGCTGGAAACTAAACTTTACACAGAGCAGCACAAAGGGCAATTTATCCTGTGCACTACAAAATGGTAAAATTGCAGCGGAAGATCTAATGCTACCTACTTAAAATTGTGCTACGAATTCTAGAGTAGACCATTTCCTAGCTCTTCCCTCCGCTAGAAAAAATGATGTGCCCCCTAATGGAAATCCCCTTCTGAGCTGCCAAACCTTCCCAATTCCCCCTCCATTTCGGCAACAAGTCTAACACCCCCCGCCAGATCACGATTCCTCCTGCCTCTCCTCTCTCTTCATTAGGCGACCTGCTCTCCTTTGAGACACCAAACAGTTTTTGCTTCTTTCACTGCAGTCATGTAGCCGTCACTCCATAATTAGATTGCATTCAATATTCAAGTGCTCAGGGCTACTTGGCCTTGGATATGATGGTGATACGGGCTTCAGAAGTACCTAAAGGAGTACCCTGACCCTTCAAAGTTTGCAACATATGAAAGACGTGACTGATCATCTGTGGGGCAATCGCTGGACTGTCAAAAGACCTACTGTGCTCTTTCTAAAGCTACCTTGAGAGAAGAGATGAAACCTAAATCTTGCCCATCAGAAGTCAATAAAAGGGGTTCAGCACACATCTCCTCAGCAGTGCTGCTGCAAATTCACATTTTTTACATCTTCTGTTCCAGAGAAGAAATCCCTGAAATACACAAAACTTAAAATGGCTGGCACTGAAAACCCCACAGATCTGCTAATTCCTGCTGCTGACATCTTCAGACACAGCAGTTAGGGAGGGAAAATACACAGTTAAATAGCTGCGTAGCAAGAGAGAAATACACCATAATGATAAGAACTAACACCAGATCCAGACAACAGCCATGTTATATAGCTTGTTCAACCCCAAACCCATTTCTGTTATTACCTCTTTGTTAGGACTCAATGTGATCACTCATTAGCTCCTTAGGTAGGAAAAATCCTTAAACCAACACATTTTATTTCCACAAGTACAACTATATACAAATTCACACTGAATTTAGGAGCAACTTTTTCAGTATATAACAAAATATATCCAAAAGAGTGACATTTCTTTTCCAAAAGGCAGTAACCAGAACCACAAAAGTTTAAGCAGCTGAGTGGCTAGGTGGGACCTCTACTGAAAAAACATACAGCAATAAATGTTGCTCTTCAGGAACACCTGATGTAAGCTGTAGCCATACATAAACATCTTTTTGCTGTTAATGAAAACCAACTAGTGTACTTCATTTACCGATTTAAGGCTACCCAGAGTCAAAATCTTCAGATTAATATTGAACTGCCTGTAATTGAAATGTCAGTCCAGAGGACGCTATGCAATTAAACCAAATGTCCTATAAAGTGAGTGGAGAACGCAAGAAAGCAGAAATATTTTTGCCCTAGAGCTTCCAGGTTCCATCTCATCCCAAAGATAATTCAGTGCTTCTGAATTTAATGTAAATATACTTGTTAAGATGTCTTTCTAAAATGATGAATACTGACTTAATCTATGTGGCAAATATCAAAAATAATCAAGATAGTAACAAGCATTTCAACTATTTTTAACATCAGTTGCAATCTCTCCGCTTCTATATACTCAATTAAGCTATCCATTTCAGAGAGATTTTTATTGTAAGCCATCTATCTGTAGTATGAAAACCTAAACAAAATTTATTTGCAAAGTCAAGAACTCTTCTGCAAATAAACAGAGATATGCCAAGGATATTTAGAGTTATAAACCAGAATTGATGTTTAGCAAATGTTTGGTCTTTGGGGAAGACTGATGCTTATTTTTTATACGTTTAAACTTAATTTCACTAGCCAGAATGACTAGAAGCTATATTTTGCTTTAAGGCCTTGTTAATTAAAAGCATGTGAAATTCCTGGTCTGCAAGATGAATAAAATGTCCAAGTTTGGAGAGAAAGCTCTTGACTTGAATGCCTCTTCTTCCATGCCTGACCTAACTCACCAAAACAAAATTAACCTTCCCTCCCCCTGCCACTTTCATCTCAAATGCTACTTTTTGTTAGTCAAACCATTCATTCGTAAGCAGCCCCTACTAACTTCTCGCCGGATCGTTTATTGGAAGGACCGTCCCACGAAGCAGGAAAACTCGGTGGCCTAGCAGTCTCTGAGCCGCAAAGCAAGGCTTCCCCGCTCCAGCTCAGCAGGTCTGCATGGCAAACCATCGCCGTTGCCATTTGCACGTTGAAAAAAAAGAGTTACCCGTAACACTAATTTTCGCCAAAGCTCTCCTATTCCGCTCTCGACGGCGTGGGGCTGACTGTCAGAGGACTAAATTCACTCGCGGGAGGAACAGCAGGTCACCTCCTCTCGCCGAAACCCAGAGCTGCGCCTCCATAATGAACCGAGTCCTCTTTGTGCTCTGTTTCGGAGCTAATCACCATTAGAAATACTGTTGCCAGAGTAACTGCTCTGACAGAGTTGTCTTTCCTTGGTTCAAAGGGCTGTTCACATGTCAACTTCTTGTGCAGTGTGAGGCTGCTTTGGCGGGGGCAGCCGGGTCTCTCAAATCTCATTAGCACGGCTTCATTCAAGTATAAGGACAAGAAAGGCAGAGACCTGGGGGGAAAATACTCCTTACCAGAAGTTCAAGACACAAGGTAAGACTCACATCTAGCTGCACACCTCCTAAAACTG